CCCCACCCTGGGGAACTGCTGACCCGGGTGTACGCAGCAGTTCCACCCCAAAAGTGTCACCTCTGCGAACAAAGGTGTACGCTTGGCGAAGAATACCGTGCCAAAACAACAGGCTGCCTACGTCCGGCTGAGGGACGCGTGAAATAAAGTGGTTCTGGCAGTGGCTTGCTCAGAGATCATAAGCACGCATGAGGGGACGGAGAGGGGAGACGGGGGAGCAGGGGGCAGCCGAGCGACGAGCAGGGGCTTCAAAAGAAGCAGATGTGGATCAGGATACTGCATGCTGTCTGAACAACAATGCATGCCTAGACGAGAGCATCCGTCTCTCAATGTCGTGTTGGTCTGCACTGTCGTGTGTGGTTTACTGGCAAGTCTTAGTTCTGAGTTGCTCGGAACCCCCAAATACGCTTGCCTGTTCAAGATTAGATCTTCAGCGCAAATGAGGCACCTGACGACCGTTGAATTCTGCAGGAGAGCCCCTGAAGTTGCGCTTGAGGGCAACAAATTGGGTACAAGATGATCATGACTATGATCACGCAGCTAGCTGCGGCGGCAACACACCAGCACGTCAGCAGCAGCAGCAGCTGATGCAGAAATGGCGGCTCTCAGGTGTAGGAGCAACGAGCCTTGTAGATCATGGCACGGAGGCATGCAGCGCGACTGGTTGGCACTTTGGCTGCTTGCTATGAGGGTGGCCAGTGTCATAGGTGCCTGCGGAGGGTGGCCAGTGTTGGGGGACCCCTGGCAGCTGCACCTTGTCCGCGTAGAGGATCGTATGCCGATCACACCATTGCCAATGAATTCGCATGAGTTTCAATTGGTTAATACATACCCACAATCAGGATCTCGTCCCGCCAACAACGTCGGTTCCGGCGGGAAGCTCGGTAACGTGCAGTAGTTGCTTTTAGAGAAACCCTGAGAGCGTGTATAGGATCATACATAACTGTACCATTCCATCACTACTCAGAACCTGAGAAGCTGTGGCGCGACCCATCGCATCAGTTCGCCTGCGACAATCCGCTTGCCGCTGCAGCCCCCTCCACCCGGCATTCCTCCTCCTGCCTCCAGCCATGTCGGACCAGCTGGGCACGATGGGCGAGGCCGAGCTACAGAGGCTCCTGGAATGGCACCGTGGTGGTTTCAGACCCCACGGCGGCTCCCGCCGCCTCGATGCGCGCGACCTCATGGAAGGCTTCTTGTTTCAGTTCATCGCTCAGAGAGCTGGTGGACTGGCGGGCAGGGCGCTGGTGCCGCCGTGCGTGGCGACGCTGCGTGCCGTTGCCGATGAGCTCGTGATCGGCGGGTATGCGCGTGGCGACGCCGGCTTGAACTTGGGGCTGTTCGCCCTTGCCTCGGTGAGCCTGGAAGCGAAGATGAGCCTGCTGGCGGCGGCAATCTCTGAGGACGGCATGCGCGTGCTGCTAGCGGTCGCGCGAGAGCAGTCGCAGAGCGCGATCGCCGAGACCCGCGGCCCTCGCGACGTTTTCGAGCGCTTCATGGCCCAGGGCGCCATTACCCCCAGCCGCCTAGCCCTGGAGCTTCTCATGCTGATTGTCGCCAACACGGGCAACGACGGAATCGCCGCCGCGGCGCGCCTGGCGTCGTCGCCAGGCATGCTGTCCGACGTCCTGGCTGTGCTGGCCGAGTCGCCCCCCGCGGGCGCCGGCAAGCCAGCCCGCTCGGCGTCTCTTAGCTACTGGGCGTGCGCCTGCCTGGCGGAAATGGCGCTGCGGCTGTTTCCCACCGCCGTGGGGCCGGCGACGCCCGCTGAGGCCGCCGTGCACGCGCCCGACGCGCCGCGCGACGGCGCTGCGCGCTTCGCGCCGCACATGGCGGCCGCACTGCTGGCCAGCCCTGGTGCCCTCGCCAACGCCCTCGCCAACGCGGGCTGCGACGACGATATGGTCGCGTGGTGGGCATTGCACGGACTATGATCGATGCCCTCACACCTAGTATGGGGCAGGGCCCCCATACATCACAGCTTGAAGCGCATGCATGGCTCCTGAAGACCTTGACCTGGTCGCATGGCAGCCATCTGCTGGCGCCTGCATGCGCGCCTGCGGCAGGCTGCATCCCAGATACTCTGTGTGAGATGCATGCCGGCCTGCGAGCTGCTGCATCACCCCGTGCTGCGTGCCGCATGCGGCCAATCACCCGGCCCCACCTGCTCCCACACCCCTCAGGCAGGCGCTGTTCGCGCTGTCGCCGCTGGCCGTCAGCCACGGCGCCACCGCAGCCTCGTCCCCAGAGCAGCAGGCGGCCGCCGTTGCTGCGCTCGCCGTCTGCCCCAGCCGCGTACCAGCCGCCCGCCGGCTCGCCTTGCGCACCGCCCACACCGCGTCCCACTTGGTGCACTCAGGCCGCGCCATCGCCGATGCCGTCAGCGACAACGGCGGCGTGCACCCCGCGGTCGAGCTACTTGCACTCACGATGCTCTGCCGCGCCCCTGACGCGCGCGACGCGGTCATCGGCATGCCGGTGCCGCTGCCGGCGCTCCTGCAAATTGTGCGGCAGCGCGACGCCATCACGTCCCGCCTCGCGCTGCAGCTGCTCGAAACCCTCATGCAGGGGGATCTGGGGGCGGCGCCTGGGCACCCTGGGTGGCCCCCGCCGCCCCAGGGGCCCATGCGCGGCGCCTGGCCGTGGGGCGCCGCCAGCGCCGCTGCCTCCGCGGCGATCGTGGCGCACGGCGACGCCGCGGGCGGCGAGGGTGCGGAGGTGCTGCGCGCCGGCGGCGCGGTGATCCTCGCGGCGGAGCGCGCGCGCTGTGGCGGCGGGCGTGCCTGCGTGGTGTGCGGTGCGCCCTGCCGGATGCGCTGCTCGGGCTGCTCCCTCACGGCCGCGTGCAGCGCCGAGTGCCAGCGCGCTGCGTGGCAAGCACACAAGCCGGTCTGCTTGGCGGCGCGTCAGGCGGCTGCCGGGATTGCCGGCAGGGATGAGAGCGACAAGACTGGTGGTGGCGCAATATCCGCAGCCGACGCTGCTGGTGCCGGCAGGTCAGACCAGCTTAATCACGCCGCACCCCGCCCCTGATCCCTTGTGATGTCAGAGCTGAGTCGATGGGGAACTCATGCGATAGTCCTCGGACTGCTTCGAGTGCGTGGATGTGTGCTCATTCGTGTGTTTGCAGCGCAGGGCCGGTAAAAAGTGGGCAGCCACTAATCAAGGTTGCATTTGAAGTCCAGCTGGACCAGTACAGGTAGCACTGCAACGCTGAGAGGCACGGGAAGCCTGGTGCCCTGAGAGGGGGGGGTGGATGTGCTGTGCTGTGAGCGCTCAAACGTTCTCATCCAAACCCTGCCCCCTGCGCTAGTAGCAGGTAGTACCCACCGCCTGTGTCAGGCACCAGCGCTGCAGCACGCTTCAGCAGGGAGGGCCTGTAAGCAGCCAGCAGGCAGCAGCATAACGGCCTTGCACTTGCACCCGCCGACACGCGCGCCCTGCACCCAACAGCCCGCTTTGCATCAGCCAGACATTGGCAGGAGCCGCGCTGCAAGGGTAGGCAACACGTGACAATTACATGCAATGCTGCATGCGAGCTGCATGTGGTGACGTATGCGTGAGCTTGTGTGCAAGACGCAGCAGCTCTCGTCCGTCGATGTGCACACTGTGCGCCCGAAAGAAATGGCCGATGGCTCACAACTCTGCAAGCCTCAATGCTGCAGCTGGGCGCAATGAAGGCGCCCGCCCGCGCGGTGCGTTTCCCATTCCGCGCCTTGGGCCCTTGGCAGTCGACCGACCCGCTGTATTGTAGGGAGTGGGCTTTGCCCACAGCGTTGAGAGAACAAATGCACGCGTGTGCGGGGCAATCCCGATCATAGTTGTCCAACATCCTGCAAATTGCACGCAGGCTCACATCATCATAAAGCGCGCACACGCCGGACGCACGCCCTGCACAAGCCATGCGGCCGCTCCATGAATGCAAACCCTGCGTCCCCCGTGCGTGGGGACCGCTGCAGTCCTCGCGCCCAATTTCGATACATTGTTCTCGCACGCATTGACGGCGTCATCGGCACAGCACAGATCCCCAGTGGTTGGGCGTTGCAACGCCGAGCGGCGCGCAGGCCGCTCCGCATGCCGTGCACATGGCAGCGTCGGCTGCTTGAAGACAGTGTCGCATTCATCACGATGACAACACAACATATTTCATGCCAATGGGCGCCGGGCGCATCACATCGCCGTCAGGCATCAGGGCTTGCGCGTAGTTCCGGAGGCGCAGCCTCGAGATGGGCTCGCAATTCACTGGAAGGTCCCTCGTGCAGGCTCCGTCCCGGTGTCGACGTTCGGCATGGGGCACGCCCACGCCGCACGCCGCCGCCAGCGCGCGTGGCCGCACTCACGCCTCTCCGCTCCCGCTCCCGTCGCCGCCGTCGCCGCCCCCCTCCTCGCTGCCCGCACTCTCAGAGAGGGGGGAGCTCCCCGCACCCGCCAGCGGCGGCGGCCGCCGCGGCGCCAAGCCGCTGAGCAGCCGCACCTGCAGCGAGCCGCTGCCCGTGCGCACCGCCGGCCGCGGGCCGCCGACCGCCGACGGCGCGCGCCCGAAGCGCATCGCAAACCCGCCCGGCACGCCGCCCGCCGTGCCGCCGCTGCCGAAGCCCGCGGCCGCGCCCGCCCCGCCCGCAGGTTGCATTTGCGCGGGCGCGCTCGCGGCGGCTGCCCTCGCGGCCTGGATCCTCTGGCGCAGGAACGCAGCCACGGCTGCGTGGCCGGCGCGGCTGGCCTCCGTATCGGCGGTGACGCCTGCGCGGTCGGGCGCGTCCCACTGCACTGCGGGCAGGGCTACGACGGCGGGGTCGTCCTCCGCGGCCGCGATGACCTGCAGGGATGCCAGGTCGCCCCTAGGGATGGAGGGTGGTAATTGCGGTGGTTGACAGTGTGTCTGTGCGCGTGTGTGCATATGTGAACATGCGTACGCACACGCATGTGCATATGTGTATATGTGTGTGTTTGTGTCCGCGCGCACAAATGCGCGCGTGTGCGTGCGTGCGTGCGTGTGTGTGTGCACGCGCGACACTGCATTAGGATGGGCAAATAACCCGTGTGTGCCGCCTGCCAGTGTGAGGGCGGCCTGGTTCTGTGTGAAGGCCCCGCCATGCCATGGACACAGTGACTGCACAAGAACACCGACCCGCAACGCTGCACTGGCAATCAGCGAGCGGGACCGGGGCGGAACACCGGGCGGCGCGCCCACCTCCGCGCGGCGACGTGGAGCGGCGTGCGTCCGTCGTAGTCCGCGGCGGCGGGGTTTGCGTGCGCCCTGAGCAGGCGCCGCAGCAGCGCGTGGTCCCCGCTGTGTATCACGGTTGAGAGCAGTGCCGCCTCCTCCACCTCCGGCTGGTTCAGGAGGGCACCTGGTGTGTGTGTGTGTGGG